ATATGCAATCAACATTTCACGGGTCTTCAAAAACCTGCCTCTAAAACGAAAAATAAGTAATTTAGTCAATTGCTATAGCAAATACAACTTTGCTTCATCGACTCTTCCAACAGAGAATGTGATGGGAGCATGGGTCTGGCATTTCGTGAAATTCATATCTGTTCTATGACCAAAGGACACTCGTAACACTGTGGCAACACAGCCAGGGTTCGAGTCTCGTCGGTTGTGCTAATAAGACCAATTCAGGCGAGGCCGAAACCGCAGTTCGCCCTTTCCGGGATGAGAATCCCTTTTGGGAAAGCATAGCTGCGTAAAATTCAATGGGAACGTAAGGTCTATCCATATCAATGTGGGAAAATTGAACTATCACTTCCTTTAATACCTTTAATGATATATATATATATATTTTTTTTTAAATAAATAAATAAATAAATATATATATATATATATATTCCATGCCAATCTGTCTTACAAGTTCCAAATTAATTGATAAGCTCAACCAAATGTTACGATTTTCGCGGACGATTGCAAATCATAACGGTTCCACCAAAAAGACTTGATATATTTAAACCAATGATTCCCAAACTGTGCGCCGCGAAATATTTTAAAAGCTTCAATTTGAGAAAATATGCAGTGATTTGCAGGCTCATCCATCATATTAATTACTAAATATTAGCTTAATGTTAATAAAGTATATAAAAAAATAATAAAGATACACAAGTTTTATTTATTTTTATCTCTTACTTACGAATAGTCATACTTAGGGTAGAGCGATATGGAAAAATTTCAATTGAAACATGGCGCCGCGTCTAGGAAAAGTTTGGGAACCACTGATTTAAACTATTGCAATCTGTAGGCCTGACCTGCACGAATGTGGATTGAAAGGGCGGTATTATGGTTGGAAGCGTATACAACCCATCAATAGAGCCCCTTCTATACATGGCATATTACGCCGAGCTCTCAGGCTCTTGTAAAACATCTACTCCCATGCATAGGGCGTTTTATACGTTTGTCTGTCCGCATATGTCAGGCCTCACGAGATAACAGGGCTACCATGTTGCCCTCAGCAAAGAGGTGTATGATGACCTGATCGATCATTTTATCACTTTAGACAACCTTGTTTATGGTCAAATCGGGATAAGTGTTCGCACGCCTCAATGAGGTCAACATGTTTTGTTTGCTCCCCTCTATAATCCTTTTCGCCTTGGCAACGGAAATATAAAGCCCAGTACATGCTCAATTTTCGGACTAACTCGACTCTGATTGGCCAATCTGACGGCCATGCGATCCAACCAATCAGGCGTAACCTGTAGGCCCATACCGCGACTCGGCCGCCGAGTATTCACTATCTCGAGACTTGGAGAAATCTACAGGAAGTCTTGCTGGTGTAAACGTCTAGAGGACTGCAGAACCGAACCAAGTCACTCCGGTTGGTATCGGTTCCTGTAGACGACTCAATCTGGCCTCAATTGTCCGATCGTCAGGCTTTCCGTTTGGTCAACTGGCACATGATAGGACCTACTGGCGCGATGGAGACGTAATGGAGAGAGCATATTTGCTACTAGCACCTTGCACCAGAGGAGCACACGCATGCCTATGCCATACATCCAGAAAATCCACCAGCAAACACAAGAGGCTGTGCTTCTGTTATGCAGGATAAGCTCGCCATTACGGAAAGTCAAACTCGAGAGGTCAGGAGCGGTATGACTGTGGCAAGCCGGACCATCCGAGTGAGTTTCTATAAACTTGTGAACATCAGCATTCATCTGTTGCGGTGCTGAGGCAGGAGGAGTGCTCAAGCATCCACATGAAACGGTTTTCTCATTATTGCCAACCCTGACTTTGCTGTCCAGTAGGGACACCAAATAGTTCCGATTTCTGTTAACATTAACCAAAACTCGTGTTGTCACGGGCGACCTGGATGAATGCACCTCGTCCCAAATCCTCTGCCTTAGTAGTCATGCCAATTTCCAGCATCGGACAGTGGACTTGGTACATTCTCAGATGCTTCACCGTAATCGTAATCGGCATCATCAGTGAGTCTGGCCAGCCTTAGCTCCAGCCTACAGGTGGGGGTGTCTATTTTGTAAGTTGTAACTAGTTGCTAGGACAGGCAAGACTCACTGATGAAGCACTTTGGACAATTTGAATTCATCTAGGTCACCTTGACAACACGGCCAAGTTGTGAAGAGACTGTGACCAAAATAGAGGCAACACCATCTTGATCTTTATAAGTGCGATTACATTAACAAAACTAGGCCATCATTTCATGTTTTCGACAGGGATGGTCCAAGTTGCAATCACACTGGAGTGTTAAGGAGCCCATGTTTAAGTAAAAAAGCTTCCAGTATGGAGGGGGCAGGAACTGGACAAGGGCTAGTAAAAGTAATTTATCTAAATTCCTAAATAGTAGGTTTCGAAACGATTACAGCTCTTCGTCTTTTCTAAACCTAACACTTACTATTTCAGTAGGATGTTGTGTCTTTACTTAAAAGTCAAGAAAAATAAATAAAACCCTGAAATTTGCATTTTCATTTTACTAGAATCTATTGACTATCTGAGCGTGTCTGCATACAAAGTCTCTTTTAAAGTGTTTCATCTACCAAGTCTCTTCACTCCATAAGCGTTATGTTTGCTTTTTCAAGACGACTTATAATGCGAGCTTATTTTGAATTTGAGAGTATTCAACATAACATGCAATTACAACAGAGAGTTGGCATGAATTTTTGTAAACAATGAACAAGTGGTGAAAAATGTAGAAATGTACCCCTCTTAAGGCACCGAGAAGAGAGTCATGAGATCCTCTTACTTGCCATATTGAAAAGCATAAATGGAACCGGCTTTTGAGGTAACAGGCGACCATCACAATTGCCAAATGTCTTCCTGTTCTCTGGTATTGTCAACTTAAGAAAATGTGGGTTTAGAAGATAAGCTTGACATGAAAACTTTCATTTTGTATGGAAATACAACGCGTGCCAGCCGACGTCTTCTGGTGAGGTTCACCTACGTCACTCTTCATCATGTACTTCTACACGAAGTTAAGTTCTTCACATCAACGCATAAATAGATCAAAGAAAAGATGTCTATCTTAAATTTTCCCTTCCCTCCATAGCATAAGTCGGCTTGCAGTCATTGGGAACCTTGTCTACAGGCTGGGCAAACGTTTTATTGAGCTTACTTCCATTTCGATTGAAAGTTTTGGGTGAAGAGATTCGAAGGTCGGTTCCACCAGAAGACGACGACGGATTCCTCTTGATCAGCTGTCGGTTGGCTTTACTGGAAGATTCATGCTGACGCTGTTTCCGAGGCAATCTCATTTGATTCCGGTGTAAAGGTGCTAAGCTTTCGTCCGTCACATGACGAACATCATCAAAGCATCGAGGGTATCATCGTCACAAGCAAATTCAAGCTAACGAGTCAAGAAAACTCACCGACGAATCCATAACAAGTGGTGTATATACTCTACATCTGGCCTCTTTGATCAAGTATAAAGTGAATTGGTTAGATAAGGTCATATGTCAACCAAATCATTTTATACATGATCAAAGATTCATGCCGACGCTGTTCCCCAGTTAATCTCATTCGATTCCGGTGGAAAGGTACTAAGCTTTCGTCCGTCACATGACGAGCAAGATAGCATCGTTACAACCAAATTCATGCTAATGACTTAAAAAAACTCGCCGTTAAATCCTTATAAAGCTGTATATATACTATATATCTGCCCACTTTGACGAGGTATAAAGTAATTTTGTTAGTTACGGTCATATGTCAACCTCGAAGCCTGTGATTA